ACCAAGCTGAGCAGTTTTGATTTTATCCTGGAGGCTGTGAAGAGCCACGGAAAATTTTAATTTATGGAAATGGCACCAAATTTGTGTTTTTGAATGCTCTGTCTGCATTGAGGATTGGATTGTAGAGACGGAAAGTGTTCGAAGGCAGGGAAACTAATTATGAAGGTAAGGGTGAATCCAGAGAGATGGGGGAAGCTAGAAGGACAAGGTTTTTGGGGTGCTCTGTAGAGACTGTAAGAGAGGAGGCAGCGTGGAAGAACCCGAGCTATAAGTGAGGAAGTTGACAGAATAAGGTCTTGAAGGAAGCCAAAGGGGCACAAAAGGCACAGAGGAGGAAATCAACAAAAAAAAGAGGAAAGATGTAAGGATGAAGGAAGATCCAGATAAGTTTACAGATTGGGGGAACTAACGGAGTCCCTGCCTGATGCCTGTTTTTGTTTTTGCTTCTGCCAAGAGAATGGTGGATAAAAGTCTGGGACTTGAAAATAGTAAAGGTTTGGAGTAGCCACTGTGAACAGGAAGAGAATAAAACAAGTCGTGAGCCACGCTGAAACCCTGGCAGAGCTAACGCTCTCACAGGACCGTAGTCATGGAGCAGGGAAATTGAACTGGGTTGATTTCTGTTTGGACGGCTGACAGAATTGATGAGGCCAAAGTCCCAGGGTGAGGGAATTGAGGAGGCTGGTGAAAGAGTAGATGACATTTTGGGATCCAGGCGTGAGGGGAAGGAAAAGGAACCAGGAGGCGGCTAGAAGCATGATAACCTAAGACACTCGAGGTAGAGATAAGGTTGAAGAGCAGGTTTAATGACAGGCAGGACAAAGGAAATGTAGGAGCATAGGGAGTGGTAGTGAAAAAAATGAGGTTTCTGATTAAAGATTTTAGAGGAGGTATAGTTTCAGGTAGCGATAAGCTCTCGAAGTCAGTATTAATGAATGGAGAGATATTTGCTGAGATTACATAAGAGAGTTTGATATTAGACCTAAAAGGAAAATTTCCTAAAAGTGCTGTCAACATGGCTCTATTGTTTGGCCTTTTTTTAAACTTTGGGCTTGGGGAAATATTGGAAACCTCTGTTTCCTAAGGAAGATGAAAGTGAAAAGATAGAGCTCTGAAGGGCAAGTACATCTGGGGACCATTAATTACGTGTAAAAACAAAAACACCCTTCAAACAAGAAACAGGACAGGAGAGGTAAGAACTCTGCTTCTTGCGATGTTAAATAACTAGCTAGAAAGAATTCTTTGCCTAAATCTTCATAATAAGGCAATTTTATTTGGTTTATACTTCCTGTAAATCTTGAAAGAAGAGAACTTTTAAGTTTTGTTATATAAATCCCCCCGACCCCTGAAAACCAGCTTGAATTCTCTTTTATGTTCTTGTCATTCTCCTGGGGTTATGAGTTTGATTAGTAAAGTGGACCTGTAATTTCCAACTTCACACTCTACACTTTATCTAACTATTCATTATTGCCCTAATTTCTCCCTCTAGAAATCAGTTTTCTTTTAGACAGCTTTCTTCTCCAAAAAACCATCTATAATATTAAAGTAAAAACTAAAAAAAGGAAAAGCATTAACCTTATTTATTTAGGATATTTTATAGGAAGCTTTAAAGTAAGTAAAGTTGTACACAAATGTTCATAGCATTATTCATAATAGCCAAGAAGTGAAAACAACTCAATTGCCTATTAGCTGATGAATGAATACATAAAATGCAATATATCCATATAATTGACTATAATTTGGCAATAAAAAAATGAAGTACTGATACATGCTACGGCATGAATGAACCCTGAAAACATTATGCTAAGTGAAAGAAGCCAGACACAAAAAGCCACATATTGTATGATTTCGTTTATTGAAATGTCCAGAACAGGCAAATCCATAGAGACAGAAAATAGAGTAGCGGTTTCCAGGGGCTGGGGGGACAGGAGAATGGGGAGTGACTACTAATAGTTATAGGGTTTTCCTTTGGAGTTATGAAAATGTTCTAGAATTAGATGGTTATGATAGTAGCACATTGTGAATATACTAACAAACAGTTGTACACCTTAAAAAGATGAATTTTATGGTATGTAAATTATACCTCCGTAAACAAATAAAGTGAATAAAGCTACTAGAGATTAAAATAAGGCCTATATGACACCTTGGGCATGCTACATAGAAATAAAGCATTTACTCCAATTTAATGCCCCATGCCTAGTTATCGTGTCTTGTTATACTTGTCTATCACTACTAAACCATAAAGTTATTTAACACTTTTAAAAGTGAGGTCAAACTTATCTTTTAATCAGTTGGTCATATTTCCTTTTTATTTGAATTTAAAATTTCTATGTACATTAAACATTTCTTACTTATGCCCATAGTTTGAAAACTATCACTACACAAGTCAAACCCTTAATGTTGAATCTGGGTCTACAGACCATAAATCAAAGAGTCAGGAATAAAATCAACCAGTAATAAGTATTATGCTGCTTGACATACTCTCTTATACTGCTTTAGGGGAACCAACCAAATGGTAATTGGTGGAGATAACATTTTATAATTCAAGCAAAGTAGGTGACTGAGTCAAAGGAGGTATCGTTAATTTGCCTTAGAGGCAAGATTTTCTTCTTGACTAAGACAGTTAAATGCATTCATGGCCTCTTTAAAAAAAAAAAGAGGGAAGGAAGGAAAGAGAAAAAGGAAGAGGGAGCTTTGCAATCTTCTAATATCTGGTCTAACATTCCCTGATGACCTGAAGCAGGGTTTGAGGTTGGGACTGGCTACTCCCATACCTAAGTGCACCAACACATAAGAAGAGAGGAGTCAGAAGTCAGACTTCCTGCAATTTACCCCAAATAAGGCATCTCTAGACTTAGCTGTTGTGACAGCTAGTCTCTAAAATTGGCCCCCAAGAATTCCTCTCCTCCCTGAGCACATTCTGCTCCTCATATTTTGTTCCTCATATTTAGAAGTGGAGTGTCTTAATCAGCTTGCACTGCTATAACAAAAATAGCATAAACTGGGTGGCTTAAACAACAGAAATTTATTTTTCACAGTTCTGGAGGCTGGAAGTCTAAGATCAGGGAGTCAGCATGTTCGGATTCTGGTGGGAGCCCTCTTCTGGGCTGTAGACAACCCACTTTGTTGTATCCTCACATGGTAGAAAGAGAGCCAGCTAGCTCTCTGGCCTCTTCTTATAAGGGCACTAATCCCATTCCTGAGGGCTCCATCCTCATGACCTAGTTACCTCCCAAAGGCCCCACCTCCTAATACTGTCACATTGGGGATTAGATTTCAACAAACGAATTTTGAGGGGACACAAAGATTCAGTCCATAACATGGAATTTATTTCCTCTTTCAATCCGAGCCAGTCCTGTGGCTTGCTTTGCCCAACAGAACACAGCAGAAGTGACTTTCTGGGACTTCCAAGTTCAGGTCTCAAGGGAGCTGGCACTTTATTTCCCATACCTTGGAACCCTGACCCATCATGTAAGAAGTCCAGACTACACTGCTGGAGAGAGGCCATGTGGAGGGACCCTGGAGGATGAGATATCATATGGAGAGAGAGGCCACAAGGAAGAGCGTTAAGGCATGAGACATGTGAGCAAAGAAGTACTTGTATGCTCTAGACCCAACCACTATGACTGCAATCACACAAGAACCCCCAAAGAAGACCAGAACCACCCAGCTAAACCCTTGACAAACCAAGGAATCATGAGAAGTAATAAAATTTTTATTGTTTTAAGCCACTAAGTTTTGGGACTTTTTAATATAACAATAGATAACTAAGACAGAAATTGAAATCTGGAAGCGCGGTGCTATTGTTACAAAAACCTAAAACACACGTGGCATTGGCTTTGGGCCCAGCTGGAGGGTAAAGGCCAGAAGGGCCTTGAGGAAACTGTAAATGAAGCTGGAAGGGCAGTGATAAAATTGTTACTGTCCTGGAGAAAAGGCAACCCTTGTTACGTAGTGGTGGAAAGTCTGACAACACTGTTGACCGTGGTAACATGCAAGATAGAAAACACATTTAATGAACTTGTGAATATGGCTAAGGAGATCTGCTGGCAGAATGCCACAAGTATCAATTGGTTTCTTTCAGTTACAATAGTGAAATACGAATATGGAGTCCAAGTTACGACTTTACTGGCAAACATCAAATCCAAGCTGCTGCCCGCTGGACAATAGGGCTTCCAAGAATTGTATGTGCACACCTCTTAGATTTTCTCTGCTAAAAAAAGGGCTTCTGAGAATCTTAAGGGCATTGTCCCACAGCACCTGACTCTAAATCTGAGGTACAGGGGTCTGTCTCAAAGAGATTTGTGGGTGTGGCTTTTATCTAATGGAGCAGATTATAATTCAATACACAGGAAGCCCACAAAGTTTCTTGAAAAACGAATTATATGAGCATGGACTGAAGGGATAGAGATAGGTTAAAAACGAAAGAGGCCTCTGAGCCCTCAACATCTTCTGAGCAAGAAGCAAGCAGAGAAAGCTGATCAGCTGCAAACATGGGCCATTTCTTACGGGAAAGGAAGAATGTCTAACAGGGCAGAGCCAAGGGACTAGAGAATCTGAGAGAACTACTTTCAGCAAGCAGAAATGGGCCTTAATAAAGGACATCTCTGATCTCAGAGTTGGAGGAAATGACAATATGTGCTTGGCTGAATTTCACAATTACTACGGTCTGGTGACTGCTCTGTATCTCCCATACCTTGCCTCTCCCCTCACCCCGTTTTTTTGCTTGAGGAAGACTGTCCCTGAGCTAACATCTGTGCCAAGCTTCCTCTATTTTGTATGTCGGACGCCCCTACAGCATGGCTTGATGAGTGGTGTGTAGGTCTGTGCTCAGGGTTCTGAACCCATGAACCTGGGCCGCTGAAGCAGAGTGTGTGAACTTAACCACTGAGACACTGGGCTGGACCCTCATTTTGAATGGACGTATCTACTGTGGTTATTCTGTCCTCTTTTCACCATTGTATTGTTGGATGCATGTGGGGCAGATAATTTGTCTTTAGTTCACAGGTCTTTGCAACCCAAGTGCTGCACTTGAGAGACCACACCAGAAGAGCTTCAACTGCTCCTAGACCTTATTTAGCTGATAAGATCCTGGACTTGGACCTGATGCCACAGTAGTATGGGACTTTTAGGGGTTTTGAGAAGGGGTGAGTATATTTTGCTTGGGGGAGGCATGTGAATTGTGTGGCCAGGCTGTGGACTGTAGTAGCGACTGTCTCCTCAAATACTTCTACTTGTATATGCTTGCCACTCTTCACATAAAGGGCTGTTTATTTCCTTTTCCTTGAAGCCAGAGTGGCTGTAAAGTGACATTCTAGGTCTTCTGGACCTAGACCCTCTAAGTGAATTGGCAACTTCCACTTCCTACTGTTCCTGAAATGCTCCCTCTTTGAACCCAGCCATCATGCTTGAGATGCCTGAGCTACATGGAAAGGCCATGTAAGGAAGAACTGAGGTGCCTTAACCAACAATCCCAGCTGACAAGCCCCAAATGCCAGCCAAATGAGTGAGGCCATTTGAGATCTTCTAGCAATCCCAAAATCTTCTAGCTGATACCACTAAAGCAGAAAAACTACCCAGATAACCTGTAGAAATGTAAGAAATACTAAATTATTGTGTTAAGCCACTAAGTTTTGGTTGTATAGAAGACTTTAAAGGAAGAGAACTAATGATATCTGTAGAATGTTCTCATCTTGTGCCAGGTAGCCTGCTTGCTGCTGTATACACCATTTTTATTAACCCTCACAAAACCTTTGTGAAGAAGATGGATCAAGAAACTGAGGCTGAGACAAATAAGTTGATCAAAATGACATAGCTAGCAAGCCGTAATACCAGAATTCAAGTCTAGATTATCTGGCTTCAATGTGTGTTCTTTTCAGTGTATGATGAACTCACCAATATTTTATAATTAATAGGGAAACTTCAAGTTTAACATAGAGGAAAATATGACTTGTGATTTTAAAGAGTATTACTCTAGAACCCTTGCTTATATTAAGCACCAGCAAATTCTTATTTTATATACAACGCTAACATATAGATATAGCTAAATCCTTGCTTTATCATAGTCTCAATTAGTAGACTTTTATTGAACTTAATTTCTTCTTTTAGTATGTATTATTCAGTATGTATTTAGTATGTATTATGTATAACAGGAAGATATGTTTGTTGCTTATTTTCTTGTTTTTTCAGATTGGCACCTGAGCTAATATCTGTTGCCAGTCTTCTCTTTCTGTTTTTTCCTTCTTCTTCTTCTCCCCAAAGCCTGCCAGTACATAGTTGTATATTCTGGTTGTAGGTCCTTCTGGTTGCGCTATGTGGGACGCTGCCTCAGTATGGCTTGATGAGCAGTGCCATGTCGGCGCCCAGGATCTGAACCAGTGAAACCCTGGGCCGCTGAAGTGGAGCAAGGGAACTTAACCACTGGGCCACGGGGCCAGCCCTTGTTGCTTATTTTGAAAATAAATTTCTATCATATGTCTATGGAAAAATCTTTTGTTGTTACTTACGGAATTCTTTGGTTGGCTTAATGCTGTGAAACAACCTCACAAAAATCCATGCATTGTATTACACTTTCTTTAAAGTTAATTTTTGTGGCATAAATATAAAACACAACAGAAGACAGTTACATTTGATAGGTACAACACTCCTGAGAGTTTGACTTTAAAAAAAGTAATATGGATTAGAAGACTAACATTAAAAAATATTCAAACAGCATAAAATATCTGCTTCAAAATGCCATATCTAAGATAGAATCTGTGGTTAAAGAATAGCAAAATTTCTATACTTTCCCAAGATAGCTCATTCCAATTTATTCACAAACGATCAGGTAGTTATATTTAGCTAACAATTCTACACAAAAGAATCTCTTAGCATTCTCTCTAGCAGTATAGTTTTATATAAACGTGAGCAATGGCTTTAGGCCAAATTGTTCCCTTTATTTGCTTGTTCTAGACTTTCACAATTTTATAATCTGGCTCTTCATAGGGTTATCTTTCCAGTTGGTAGGGATTTTACAACACCTTAATTGTGTACATTAACAGAAATGTTGATGGTGTCAGCAGTGGGGAGAAGGCTGGCAGGCAGGTCCCTTTAGGATCTTGTCTCTGTCTACTGCCACCATGAACCCCTTGCTCCCCGCTAGCCACTTGCAGCTATTTATTGGTGATGTTGAGTTAGTTGTGTTGTATTTCTGAGACTTGCTCTCCATCTCATTTAACCTCTACTCAGTCTTTACAAAACAGCACGAGTGTTGCCCACTCCAGGAAACCCTCCAGTTATTTTCAGTCTTGGTGCCATATTGCATTTACTCACCTCCAGTATAGCTCTCACTTATTACATTGTGACTTCTCTGTCTCTTTTCCCCATTATGCTATGGAACCATTGAGGGAAGCAATTGCATTTTATCCATCCCTATCTGCCTGTTCCTCAGCAGAGTACCTGGCACAGCATTAGGTTCAATAAATGCTTGTTAAAGGAGAGTATGAAAGGGAAGGCTCCCTGTCTTAGAGAAAAAAAAATCTAGCCTCAGAAAGGCACCTTCAAGGGAAAGCACAGAAAAACACTATCTCCTTTAAACAGCTTTATTGGGAGATAATTCATGTCATATAATTAACCTCTTACGGTTATTTATGCTATGATAAACTGCTAAAAGTAGTTTTATTTATATTCTTTTGGACTATCCCATATACCACAAATAGTTGCTTATAATCTTTTTTTATAATGACAGTTTTCAAAGATACTGAATAATATTCAACCCTCTTAAAATTCTCAGAAGACCTTTTGTCTAGCTCAGTGGTCCTCAAACTTTAGCTGCATCAGAATCAGCTGGAGAGTTTGTTAGACCATAGATTGCTGGGCCCTACCCTCAGAGTTTCTGATCCCTTGAGACTGGGGTCAGTCTAAGAACTGGTATTTCTAACAAGTTCTCAAATGCTGCTGCCGCTGGTTGCGGGGGGCGGGGGGGGCACATTTTGAGAACTACTGGTCTAGCAGTTTCAACAACTACCAACATTTTGCCATATTTATCATTTATCCCCTCCTCCATCCCTCCCTTCCTCTTTCCTCCTCTTCTATATTTTATAAAAGCAAATTTCTGACATTTCTCTATCATTTCACCCCTAAGTACTTCTGAATTGTATCCAAAAAACAAGGACTTTGAAAAACATTTTATAATATTATCACACCTAAAGTTAACAATACTTCCGTAGTATCATCTAATTAACAATCATCAATCTTTTCTGATTATCTCAAAAACACTGTTTATGGTTGGTTTGTTCAAATTAGGATTCAAATAAGGTCAACACAGTTCATTTTGTTGTTGTGACTCTTAAGTCTCTTTTAATCTAGAACAGTGTTCTCTCCCTGTTTTATTTTCTCATGCCATTGATTTGTTGACAAAATCAGGTCAGTCATCCTGTAGACTGTTCTACATTTTGGATTTGGATAATTGATTCCGTGTAGTGTAATGTAACTTGTCCTTCTATCCATTATATTTCCTGTAAATTGGAAGCTAAAACTAAAGGTTCAATTAGAGTTCAGTTTTAACTTCGTTAGCAAGAATATTTTATAGGCAATGCAATATAAGTTATACTGTATCACATCAAGAGGTATGTAATGTCTGGTTGTCTTACTTTTAGTGACACTAAGTTGACTGGTGGATTCAAGTGGTAACAGCTTAATCCTTACATTGTAAAGTTAACTATCAACCTTTCTCCTAATACTTTTATCATCCATTGATGAGTACTGCCTAAAACACAAAATAGTGGTCTTCTAATTCTATCCCTCCTTTTACGTTTATTAACTCAATTTCTCTCCTCAAGTAGGGCTATTTAGTGATTTTGAAATAGGGTTTGTATAGAACAGGCAAGATAAATTCTTGTTTCTTTTTCTTTAATTTCTAATTTTCAAAGTAAGGACTTGATGCTTGTTGTTACTGAATTGTGTCGTGCCCACCGCGGCCCCCCCCCCCCCCCCCCCCCCCCCCCCCCGCCCGGCCCCAAATCATATGTCAAGTCCTAACCCCTAGTATCTGTATTTGGAGATAAAGTCTTTAAAGAGGTAATTAAGTTAAAGTGAGGTAAATAGGGTGGTCCCTAATCCAATGACTGGTGTCCTTCTAAGAAGAGATTTAGATATAGATACACACAGAGAGTAGACCATGTGACGACACCAGGAGGAGGTGGCCATCTGCAAGACAAGAGAGGCCTCAGAAGAAACTAACCCTGGCCAACACCTTGATCTTGGATTTCTAGCCTCCAGAATTGTGAGAAAACAAATTTCTGCTGTTCAAGCCACCCGGTCTGTGGTAGTTTGTTATGGCAGCCCTAACAAACTAATACAGTGCCCTACCTACTTCTAATGGTGACCAGTGACTTTTGTGTACTTAATTAACTAGTTAATGAACTAGCTTTCTTTTTCTTTTCAGATCATTATGAACTCATGGACTTTATACATTCAATGCATTTCAATAAGTTGTGGTCATTTTTCTTTTGGATGTTTAAACTGTTCTGTATTTTGCCAGAGGAAGTTCCAGAGGAAGTTGACTTTTGTGTCATTTTGATACAAACCCAACAGTCTTGGATAACTTCCTTGCTTTCAGGTAGAAAATATCTCAGGCTCATTTTGTACATTTTCTGTCCCAGACCTGGAATCACTTATCTTAAAAACATAGGATCTGGGTTTATGCCTGTTCATTGCTACTGGGTTGTCATTGCTTCTAAGCTTTTTCAGGAAATAAAAAATTATTGGGCTGTTACATCTTTTTTTTTTTTATTTGTATGTATTATCTCTTATATGGGAAGTTTTGGATCCTAACACATTAACATAATCATTTGTTCTCTAATATCCATAAAATAGTTTAAAAAATGAAACCAATATTTATTTTACTAATCATTAGACTACTGAATGAAATTTAAAATTTGCCTTTCTTCTTGTCCTTAGGATACATATTTCTAGGAATAAACGTAGTCAAAGTCTTGTGTTCTAAAAAAACTGAAAATAGTTCTTTTCCTTGTGTAGTTATATCACTAACTTGATATATAGTTAAGTTCATTTGTTTTAGAACAGTTGTCTTGGTACTTTGTCAGGCAATGTTCCTTGTTTATTTTATAAGCATCATTAGAAAATACTTTTCTTCAAGCTGTAATGAGAATTGAGGTTAAAAGACAGAAGAAATGGAAAGAAACACTGTTCTGGGACCTCATCTTCTACTTATATGCACCATTTAATAGTTCACCAGTGATTTCACAGCAATTCATTCAAGATTCCCTGAATAAACTGTTCCCTGACAAAATACCTTAATCACTGCCTCAATTTAGATAATCCTGGTTATGTCATGAACATTGAAGACTTAACGTTTCCAGGCTCTTGTTTGTGCTTGAATACCAAAGCCTACAGATACATTGAATATGTCTTCCAATCCTGTTAATAGTCCTATTTACTGAACTGAAATATTCATGATTAAAAAAAGAAATCCTAGCCAGAAGTTCTCTTTGAGGTCAATTTTCTACATGAAATATTTGAGTTAATCTTTTGCTCCAGTAAAAAGCAAGCACACACATACAAACACACACACCTTTCCTCTTTACACTGTTAGACAGACTGCATCATTTACTATGTGTAAAACATCATCTGGTTGTTGTGGGGCAAGCATGTTTAGACAGAAAGTACAAGAACTCTGGAGTCAGAAGGAATTGGTTTTATATAGCTTAATAGTTGCTAACAGTAAGACTGTAATAAAATTGCCTAACCTTTTATGGACTTGATGACTTCAGCTGTAAAAGGGGTATAATAGTACACACTTAGAGAGTTGGTAAATTAGGTCCCAAATGTAAAGTGGCTAGCACAGTATCTGGCACACAATAGGGGTTTAACCATTTTCATGCTCTCAACCTAAAAACCTCTTAAGACAAAGAGAAGCAGCAGAAATCGTCTGATCTTGAAGATGATTGTGAGTACAGTCCTACTTCCTCCCGTGATTCTTAGGCCATTTTGTGTAAGCTAGCTCTATTTTAAGAGTGACAATCTGAGCTGTCATTCACTACTTCAGTTGGCGAGGAAGCCAAAGTGTTGAGCAGTCTTTTTAGTCCTGTTAATTTATATAGGGCACACAGGTAATATAAAAAAGTGGCTATCCTAATCAGGGGTTCTCCTATCAGCTGTCTGACAGGATATCACAAAGATATCCTAGAGGGAGATTCCTCAGTAACTTTCCAGGGTCACTCATGAAAAGCTACAAGCTTCATCCCCTCTTTGGAGATCTTTTATTCCACTTGAAAAGGCATACTCTCCTCCAGAGTAAAATGAAGCACAAGACTCTTAATTCTAAACCTCAACTTGGTAGTGAGACATCTGGAGGGAGCAATGCTTTCTTTAGGGTTAATACTTTTTTTCTTGTTAAATAATCATTTTTGTCATTTGGCAGTTGTTAAAAAAGGGAAGAGAGCACGCTTCAACCTATTTTTACTGCAACACAAAGTACTCCTCCTAAATCATTATAATAGCAACTTTCAAAGAGTTGCTCTCCACAGAGTACATGTTCCAAGAGATTTTAATGTGTATTACGTGACAAAGTATGTACACATTTGGTAATGCTGGGTTAAGGAGATTTAACAGGTCTCTTTACTACATAACTTCTCAGAACCTTACATGTACTAATGCATATTATCAGTCTCTCAAAACTGCAGATGCAGTTTGTAGAACTTCCTAAACCCACCTGATTCTAGATCTCTTGTTCCACAGAGGAGCTTGGAGGATCATTGTCCCACAGAACACATTCCAGGAAATAATGTCTTATAATTTAAAACTATAGGAGAGAGAAACATTGGACCAATGTGCCCCTAAAATACGTTAATGGTTTTCAAGCCAGTATAAGTTCTTCTTTGTCTTGGCTATTGCAACCATTATTTGGCTGTAAGAAATAGAAACCCATTGCAAACCAATTTAAACAGAAAGTGGAAGTTCTTGATAGAACACAGGGTTATCTCACTAAGCCCAAGGTCAGAAAATACACAAGGCTTTAGGAGGACTAGATTGGAACTGGAAAATCAGAGCTTGCGATTAAAAGACCATATGCTTGATTACCTACCCCTCTTCTTGTCTGCCGTTTTCTTTTTCTTTTGAGAAGCTTTGTTTGGACCTGTCAAGAAAAGTGTCTGATACAGTTCTGATTCTATGTTCCCTTTACGAAATCAATAGTATTTATTGCCATGTCCTAAGTCCAACTTTTCAAGAGAAAGAGAATTTTGACCGCCCAGCTTGGGTCAGGTTTTCACCCAAGCCTAGTGCAATCTGCTGTGGCTACAGAGTTCATGTGCTACAAACAGGAAGACTTAGGCCTACTCCCTCAGGAAGGTGAGGGGAACAAATCTTTCTTAGAATGAAGGGGCCATGGCATGAGTAGGGACCATCAAAATAACACTAGGCATGGTTTCCTTACGAGGATCATCTTAGAAAGAAGGGCAGCCTTGATGGCAGTATTTCATATACTGACAGTATCAAATTGGTTTAGAGAGAATGTCTTTCAGAGAATCTATTTGTGAATCTATTGCGAATATTGTGTCAGGCATTATCACTATTTATTAGTATCTAATTCTCCTCTACTTCTGGGTACAAGGATTCCCTGCCCTTTGAAATTAGATGTGACCCTGTGACTTACGTTGGCCAATGAAATGTCACTTTGCGGGAGAACACTTTGATATGTAAGGATTTAGACTGAAGCAGCTTGAAAGTGCCAAGCCAACTCATTGACAGCTGGCAGATCTCCAGGGGACTTAATGTAAGAAAAGTACTTTTACTCATTAAACCCCCTGAAGCTTTGGAGTTGTCTGTTATTGTATAACAATCTAGCCTATCCTGACTAGAACAAATATTCTTTGAAATGAAAAAGATAGGTTCAAACCGTAATGAAGGTGAAATGCTGTGCTGAGCTGGAGTAAACTTGAGAGGCCGTGAGTTTGGTGACCTAGGCCTATGTGCAAGATTCCCCAATTTCTAGTGCAATTGACAAGACTCTTGTGATACATATTGATAAGTAATCTCCTCCTTCCACACTGGAATTTTAAGTATCTTGTAAAGGTTAAAAATATTATTTTCAGGGGCCAGCCCCATGGCTGAGTGGTTAAGTTTACATGCCCCGCTTTGGCAGCCTGGCGTTTCACCGGTTCAGATTCTGGGCACAGACCTAGCACCACTCATCAGGCCATGTTGAGGTGGCAGCATCCCACATAGCACAACCAGAGGCACTCACAACTAGAATATACAACTATGTACTGGGGGGCTCTGGGGAGAAGAAGAAGAAGAAAAAAAAGAAGACTGGCAACAGACGTTAGCTCAGGTGCCAATCTTTAAGTTTTCATTTCTTAACACCATCAAGTGTCATTAGAAGATGATCAGTTTTCTCAGTGAACTAGGTGTGCAACATTTATTATATTACAGTTAGGTAGATTACATCAGATGAGCACCGGTGCCACTGACTTTAGATTATCATACCGTGCTCAACCTGTTATCTTGAAAAAATTGTTCAGGTGTAGTGGACACAGGTGTCCCTTTCTTATACAACCCTGATTTTGCTCACATACTTATCCATATCCCCCACAGCCACCTTCCTCAGAAGAAGCTCAAGTCTCTTCCAGACCTAAGGGTGGGTTGAATGGTCTCAGGGTAACCCCATTCTTTGCCAGGGTGTGGTTCAGATACAGGCATGAGACCCAATTTTACCAGTAGAAGAAAAAGTCTGCTAGAGGGTTTCTAAGACACATTTCCTTTTTCTAAGAGAGAGTTACAGGAAGAGACAGTTTCTTTTTCCCATTCCTTCTGAATATTGTCATTTCTGGATGTGTTGCCTAGAACTGCTACAGCAGTCTTCTTGCTGTTAGCTTGAGGATGAAACCAGAGGAAGCTCAGAGAGTACAGAGCCTTGATATGGCAAGAACCACAATCTTTGAAAATAGTGTTGAGCTACAGAATCCATTGATCCTGAAGTTCTCACTCTCGGCACTGTTACATAGGATAAATTTCCATTGAATCAGAATTTCTGTTACCTGCAGCTAAAAGCATCCTAGCTAATACATTAATAATATATTTACTTTTCTAGATTAGCATATGCTTTTTTATGTTGCCTCTTAGAAAACAGCATGTAAAATTTTAAGAATTCCTAATCTTTATCCATGAATTATGATAGACATTAGATAACAAAACTCTAATAGTCTCTCCAATGATAACTGGAGTCTTTAATCAATCAGCAGTCTTTCAAATTCCAGCAGAGAGAGAAGTTGATTAAACATATGTTTTACTTCACAGGTAACTTACGGTCAAATTTCAAAAATTCAAAATCATGATCTGTCAAGAGGAAGAAGGAAAATTGAAAATCTTCTTAGCTGATGCCTCACAGGGTCTGAGTGCTGCTGGCAATGCGACAGCAAAAGGGGAGGATTAAGCACTGCCTGGTACATAATATCAGAAGTCCTGAAAGGAAGTGAAAATCAAGGTGGTTTATTTTAAATCTTCAAATTGTAATCAAAGTACCTAGGTATCCTATAGATTTTTACCAAGTTCTTGGATAGCTATTTAATTACTTGTTTGCCTACCTGACTAGACTGCAAGCTCGTTGAAAGCAAGTACCATATTTATCTTGTTCTTCATTGCCCCAAAACCTAGAGCAATGCCTGGCATGGAGTAGGTACTCTAAAAAAGTAATTTTATACGAACAACAAAAAGTGAAGAATAGGATATTCTAAATACATGGGACTATTTTCTGGACATTGGATGTAATCTGATAGAAAGCTTATTATATATATGGAGAGAAAAATCTGATACAGGTAACAGAGAAAAATGCTATTTAATAATTCTATACAGGGTACTTTTAAAAATATTGAGGTATAATCTATGTATAACACCCTGTAAATTTAAGGTGTACGATGTGTTGATTTGATATACTTAATATAGTGCAATATGATTACCACTATAGTGTTAGCTAACACCTCCATTACCTCACACAATTATTATTTCTTTTTTGTGATGAGAACATTTAACATCTAGTCTTCCAGCAACCTTCAACTATATAAAACAATATTGTTAACTCTAATCACAATGTTGTGCATTAGATCCCTGGAACTTATTTATTTTCTAACTTCAAGTTTGTACTCCTTGGCCAATATCTCCCCAATTACCCTACTCCCCAGAATACTTATTTTTTTGCAAGCTGTTCCCTTTCCTTGTAAAGTTGTTATCAGGACTCAATTTCCCTTTTAGTGTAGTTATTACCATTATTTTTTATCTGTTATGCCTCTAACAGATGTAGATGAGGCTGGCCAACAAGCGTAGTCAAGCCCTGCAAACCCACAGTGAACATGTCACTAATTCGATTATTCTCCTTTCCTTCCTTCCTCTCTCTGTATACTCTCTCTGACTTCTTCTTAGCTTTCTGTATAGGATCAGTAAATTTCTGGATTTCCAACTGAGCTTCTCTGTTTCAGGGAATAAATTACTGATTCCAAACCACTCTCTAGATCTTTGTGACCTTTGGTAACATCCCTTGATCCCTTGTTATTGGCTAAAGCCTGGAAAGAAAAATTCTGAAAGGCAAATAATAGCAAAGACTAAGAACATGGGGTCTGGCTACTTTTTTCATCCCACTGATTTTTCCTCAGTAGCAACCTCATGTGCAGCTGACCTCATGGTCTATTCTCATTTCTCCTCTGACAGAAATCTTTTGCTCAATTTCCATTCTAGAACATCTCTGATTCTTTCCTCTAGGCTTCACTTAATCACTGAGCCCAAAAGGTACTAAATAGACTTCCCTTTGTGCAAAAGGCTCAAGAACAAGCTTTCCTATATTCAGAGCCATTTTCTTAGTCTTGGCATTAGTGTTAACTCTTAATACCCTGTTTGTCTCACTGAATCATTTATTATGTAGAATAGTAGATATCCACTAGGGTCTTCTCTGAGAACTGCATGCCTCATTAGTAGAGACAGGTCATTCTTAGGGTTGTTTTTACTATGTGACTCCTAACCACCTGGCAAAGGCTGATGGGACCCTTGGTAGAACTTTACTTAAACTGCGCCAAAGGGCCAGCCTGGTGGCACGTCTGTTAAGTGCGCATGTTCCGCTTTGGCGGCCCGGGATTCACTGGTTCGGACCCGGGTGCAGACATGGTACTGCTTGGGAAGCCATGCTGTGGTAGGCATCCCATGTATAAAGTAGAGGAAGATGGGCACGGATGTTAGCTCAGGGCCAGTCTTCCTCAGCAAAAAGAGGATTGGCAGTAGTTAGCTCAGGGCTAATCTTCCTCAAAACAAACAAACAAATAAAAAAACCCTTCATCTTTAGAGGCCAGCTCAGTGGGGCAGCAGTTAAGCGCAGACGTTCTGCTTCGGTGCCCTGGGTTCGCAGGTTCGGATCCCAGGTGTGGACATGGCACCACTTGGCAAGCCATGCTGTGGTAGGCGTCCCACATATAAAGTAGAGGAAGATGGACACGGATGTTAGCTCAGGGCCAGTCTTCCTCAGCAAAAAGACGAGGATTGGCAGCAGATGTTAGACCAGGGCTAATCTTCCTCAAAAAAGGAAAACAAAAAAACCTGGGTCAATCAGATCCTCTTTTCTTGTGAATATGAATTGACCCCAGTGACTTGAGTGAGTCACATTTCTCCCAGAGAATTGGAAATGCTGTCCAGTTACAGGATAACTGTTAGCAGCAGCAATTGGCCACTCCTAAAACTGCCCAGCTCACTGAGATCTGCACGACCTGCTTTGTCAAGGCACTCGGAAGGTGGTCAAAAGTGCAAGTAAGAAAGATGAGCTGCAAACAGAGAAACACGTAACTGACTCAAGGACTTGATAGTGTGAACTGAAGGGAATGGGTAGATCTCAGAGATAGTGACACTGAAGAAGTAGCGAGATTTGGCCAAAAGACAGTGATAAGTTGAAGACGAGTTTACTATTCCACGACTAGGGAACGTTTCCGATTAGTATTGGAGTGGCTGGTTCCTGGGCAGAGGGGGTTCTCTGGGATTCCGGAGCTTTTTAAGCAATGGTTCCTGTCTGTTTCCACAAACAGCAGTGTGAAAGCCAACTACAGAACTTCGCTACTAAAACAGCAGCAAACAATTTAGGAATTACTTTGTTAGGGCTATTCATAAGGGCTTATATTGATTGTGGGTATAAAATCTGGGCTAGTTAGCTCCCCTCTGTTTTGCAGCTAGAGTGCACCCAGACACCTGATTTATAAATACGTGGTTATGGTGACAACCGAGCTAGACTGAGAGACTACAAAGAGTGCATACTCACGAATGATAATAAAAAAAAAATAAAAACACAAAACCAAAATTGAATCAATTTGCCTATGTCCTTGAGAATGTCCAAATTTACAGAAAAAGCACCTACTTCAGTAGATGGCTCTCACAGGGCTAAGGAAAATCTTCACACAATTCTTTTATAAATAATGGCTCAGTTGCTGCTTTTATAAGGAGTCCCCTATTAGCAAAATATTTTGGCTGAAAGGGAACAGATTTCTGTTAGATTGGGGCTTGAGATCTGGCTCCGGCCATTTGCCAGTTGTGTGACTCCATTTAAATTACACAACCTTTCTGATACTGTTTCGTCATCTGTAAAATGAGGATAGCAACCAATTCACACCCTTTCCCTTATTAGCAACTAATCTCTCGGACAGAAGCGTCTAGTGTCACAATTTTTGGACAAGTATTACGTTCATTGCAACAAATGCCTGAACGCTGACGGAAGGCCAGGACCTAAATGAAAGCATTCCTTGTACAGATGGAGCTCAAGGTGCAGTCAGGTGTGGCTGGGACGGGAGAAGCCCTAATACTACCAAGAGCCTTTATTACTGTTTACGAGCCTTTCTTACTCGTGCCGGGTGCTATTGCTACACTCTTTACATACATTATCCCATTTTATCCTCAAAATAACCTCCTAAGGGGGTCTCAGCCTCATTTTGTCCACGAGGAAACTGAAGCCCAGAGAGGTTACTTTGTCCAGGGTCACACAGCTAATGAGTAGTGGAACCCAGACTGAAACCTACTTTACATTCCAAAGGTCCCGGCTCTTAACTATTCCGAGGAAAAGGGGAGGGGGGATTGGCTCTATGAACCGCATTCTGGGATCCGGTGCCTGTAAAACGCCTAAACGGTAAAGCGACCCAGGAATTCTTAGATCATAAGCTTCCCTTAGCCCTTTCTTCCTTTAAGAAAGTCTGTTTAACAGCTTCTCACCATGTGGATTGACTGAAGAAAGTTATAGGAAAAGGAAGGCGGGCTGCGGACGTGGTCCTCAGGACTCCGTGGCGGTCGAGCTGGGCTGGCGCGGCTGTTCACCAGCCCTCAGGTGACCCGTCCCCAGGCGGGCCGGCAGGGTGAGGCGCTCCGGGGTCCAGCGGGTGAAGCGTGGGGCCGCAGCCCGGGAAGAGAGCGTGTGCGGCCCACGCGGGGCGCGCACCGGGAGAGAAGCCGGACTGCGGGGCTGAGAACCCCACGCATTGCGAGGGAGGCAGACGCGCGCTCCGGGAGCCGGGCCCGCGAGCTCTGCCTCCGGCTCCCGCCCCCGCCCGCTCTCGCGCGCGCGGCCCCTCCCACCCTGCTCCCGCCTCCCGGCCGCTCGGGCCAATGGGCGGGGCGGGTGGGCTCGCGGGGCGGGGCGGGGCGGGGCGCGCGGCCTGCGCGCAGGTGCCGCC